CTACATATACCGAGAAAAAAGAATTTTCAAAACGGGCCTTTCTGGACCAGAGGTAAAATTGATCATCAGTTCTAGTTCTGTTTGATAGAGGGCTGTTTTGTCATTTTTGCAATCGAAATCAGAAATAACAAATTCATAATTCTAAAATTTTTTAATAATAATTGAAGACAAAAACAAAAGAAAACAAGATTATTAAAACTTGCAGATAAACTAACTTCAATGCTTCATTTTCTTTCTTAATGTGACAGGTGTTTACAAAAATGGAATCAGCCTCAATGATATCTCGGCAAGAATGCTGAATTATTAATTTAAGGTTCTTTGCAGAGAACCGACAGGGCGCTTGATAACGACAAAACAATCTTTTGAATCTGCAACCATTGCCTAAAGCTGCGGCTAATTCTTCCTTTCAATATCCAACATTTGGAAGCGTGGAGCGGTGAAATTTGACATCAGCAATTTGAAAGTAAGATGTTTGATGCCTTTTTGAATGATTTAACGGGCACTTGAACTGCAAAAGCGAATATTCGAACCGTAGTCGAAGGCTTGCTCTTGTTGTCAGAACTGTAGCTGTAGTTATTTCACAATCACCCGCATTATTATGTCAACCACGGTTTAGTTTCTTGAGCTTTGTAGCTACTAGTTAGTTAGTGAAGCATAACAAAACTGTTGTAGGAAAACGGCACTTAGTCTAATCGTCCTAATATTGAAAATTTCCGTTTTGTAAAATAATTAATCATTCTATGCGACAAGATTAGCATAAGTGCATCTTATAAACGCTTGAATGGTTTGACACGCGCTTGATTCGACGGAAAAAGAAACGGTGAGGTCATTTCATCGAGCATCCATCCTTTTCCTTTTCAGCTTTAGCAGAGTGTATACCTCGTTTAAGTATATCGGCTGTCAAAGTTATAATTATTCGCCTCTTGTATTCAGAACAGCTTTAATTCTCCATATTTCATTTCTCGAAGAACGTTGGTCTTCAAGTTAGTGATTGCCAAGAACTAGCAACTGTATCGTTAACTGAAAAGGTCGTCATCGTTCATCTTGGTGAAATACAAGACCTAGGGTTAGTTGTACATGATTTGATTACTTTGTAAAACGAACGGTATCGCTCGATTATCATTGTACTTCTGCATAGTTTTAACTGTCTCATAACCTAAAAGCTTTATCATATTTAGGTGTATGTGGCGGATAGCGAAGGAGTTTTGCTACATAAACGCTCATCGACTCAAAATTGAGGTGGATTGAACATTCATGTAACCACGAAATGAAAGAAAAAAGATAAAGAAATCCTGCAGTGAGCGATACATGGCTTCGATTGTCAGTGATGTCTCAGAACAAAGATAAATACTGAGTTTATTATTTAGTTTATTAGGAGCTTCTTAAGTATTCCAAAACAATCTTTTGAATTCTGAATCACTTATCATTCTTATTACAATTCAGTATAGCTGCCGGTAAAATACGTGAAGTTTGATATTCGATGAAAGCAAAGCAAAATGCATGTGTTATGCCCATTTGCAGGTTACGATCCCGATTGCAGAGGTGCAATTAAGGACATGATGCAATTTCACAAACGCGTAATTATGGTATTTTCCACTCTTCTTCTTGCCTCATGGCTCGTTTTACAATTATTTGAAAGAGATCTGTGTAGCAAATCGCTCAGCTTAGAAAGGTGAGTGTGCTGTTTTTGCATGGTTATGTTTTTTTGTTCTGTTTTGTTTTTGAGTTTTCGTTTATTTATTATTTATCCATTCATTCGTTTCCTGTACCCTTGTAATGTAAAATAATTATTAATTAAATGCAAAAAAAAAAGAAAAAAAAGCTTTCGAGTGGGGTGCATCATTTAAAACTTTCTTTTCTCAGATACCACCAACCATTGCCTGTACAGCGGTCTTTTGCGTTTCCTCGGAAACGGTAGAAGCGTAAGCCCAGCCAAGAGTTACTCGAAGGCAAACAGGGAGAGGAAAAAGTAGAGGGTATGGGGTAAATGAACACCTGCTTCGATCAAGATTTCCCCGTTTGGCTCCAAGGACACGGGAAAGACAACAGTACAAGCTTTGAGCGCCACTACTTACTGTGCCAATGATTGACGAGCCATTGAATCAAACCTATTACAATTAACTTGTTATTTATTGATGAAGTCATTCTTGACTACTTTCTTAACTTTACAGGAAACTGATGGAAGTTGACCCTCTTGAACAGTCAACAGATAAGCTGCAACTTCAATGTAAACCGGCGAACAACATTTTATTCCTAAAGACGCACAAAACCGGTTCCAGTACGGTGACAAACATTTTAAATCGTTACGGCGATACTAGAAGTTTAATATTTGCCATGCCTGCGACTAAAAAGAGCTACAGTTTCTATTGGCCTCTTTCCTTTTCACTCCGGTTTACACAGGTACTTTGGAAAGCGCCAAATATCTTATGTAACCATGCCAGATACAAAAAAGCACCAATGAACTGGCTTTTTCCAAAACAGACAACTCATTATGTTACAATATTGAGGGAACCAACACAGCATTTTGAGTCTATCTTTAATTTCTTCTTTCTCGGCAAACATTTTAAAGGATTGGAAAATGCTTCGTCGCCTCTTGAAAAGTTTCTTCAGAACCCAATGGTATACCTTAAAGTAGCAAATCGAACAAAAAACCCTGGTTTGTTAAAGTTGATGAAAAATCCAGCGTTATTTGATCTGGGTCTTGACACAAAGTATCATGATGATCTAAGTCTAGTGCAAAACTACATTCGATTCCTACAAAGAGAATTCGACGTTGTTATGCTCATGGAATACTTCGATGAGTCACTGGTGCTTTTGAAAAGACGACTTTGTTGGAAAATCGACGATATTCTTTACTTTAAACTCAACGAGAGGAGAGACACCGATAAACAAAATCTATCTAACGATGTTAGAGAGAAAATTGTAAAATGGAATTCTGGCGATGAACTTCTGTATAACGCTTTTAAACGGAAGTTATGGGAAATGATAGCAGAAGAAGGCCCAGATTTTTTCAAAGATCTCGCAATCTTTCGAAGACAATTAAAATGCGTCAAAATGACCTGTCTACAAGAGGGGAATTTTCTGACCAGGCCCTATGCTGGGAGACTGGTGCGAGGCTATGTAGTGAAAGCTAACATTTCTAAAAGTCTTAATGAATCTTGTAGTAGGATGATAATGAATGAGATACCATATCTGGATTACCATCGCGAAAAATTGTATCGACAACTTTTAACTATAGACAAACATGAAATTCAAGTAGATCGTCTTAGATGAAAAATTTAAAAGTATTTAAACGTGTATACTGCTCATTTTTTTTTGTTTTACTTGCCAACGATCCATTACTGCTGTCCTCTAGCTCCTCGCATCCTTGTAGTGAAGTCAATTCCCAGTTCTACACGGTAAGACGGAGACCAATATTAAGAGGAGCGCAGCTGAAAGAGCAGGAAGTGTCCCCACCAGCGCTAGCAAACCCGACGTAACGCAGTGATGTAAATATTACACAATCAGAAGCTTGATCTTACCCTTCCTCCCCTCCCACCCCAACCCCCACCCCCACCCTTATGGAACCAGCAATATAACTTATCCCTTCTACGGAGGGCGATGCATCAGGAGCGAGCTTAACAACCATTGTTTATTTCGGATGGCATTAAATTATTACTCAAGTCATGCATGAATTTGAAAACATCTCGAAAGCAAGCTTTTTCATTTCGGTCAGTCTAGTCACGCTAATGATAAGCGGCAGAAATTTTGCCGTGCTGATCCGATGTCAGTTGTTTTTCTTCAGCAGAAATACTAGGAATGTATTATTAAGTTGTTTATGTGTGTTTTGAAAATAACACGAAGTATGCCTGCGGTGACCCACAAGCTATGTCCATTGATATATCATGCAGACAAGTAGTGCGTTCTCCGAATTTTATAGGCTGGATCATCAAAACTTAAGAGTATGCGCCCAAAATTCCTCTAATAAAAAGCTGTTTAATTTCGTGCTTCCTTACATAAGAATCTGTCATACTTTCTGGTGATTCCTAACTTTTTGACAGGCAGCGTGATTGATGCAACCTATTGTTCCATGAAGCGTAATTCAAGCGTTTAGATATTCGTGATTGTCCTGATCACGATCGCCTGAATATTTAGAGAGTTTTGACCGAGTTTAAGATAAGGTAAGATCTTGCAGGAAGAAAATACAGATCCTCTTGCATATTCTGTATTCCGCTTTAGCGTCGATCGCAACATCATAATTTAACATTGTGATCTTTAACATAGATGTCATAGAAAATCAGCGAACCTTTAACTAATGTTTCTTTGCTAGGATTTGCATAAGGCCAGTTCCCAATCGCCTCAACAGGTTTTTTGCATTCAACCCCACGCTCAATCCAAAGAAAACGTCGAGAAGGTAAGCCGGTTTATCATCCTTTTTCCAAACATACTATACTTAGTATTCCCCTGTATATCCTGTAGAGAGAACATCAATTTAAATTTGTCGGCTGGTGTCACGGTTTTAAAAGAGCAATGACATAGGCAAGTTAGAGAGAAGAAATAATCTATATGCGGAGGAGAAACGAAACATTTCAGGGCGATTTTACTCAAATTTTAGATTAATCTGCTCAGTTCAGCATCTAGAAATGTCTTGAGGGGGGAAAACACGAAACGACTGCTATATTTTATCAGGATACGTGTCTTTCCAGCCACATTATAGTCCATCTCGTGATTGTTATACCAAGTAACGTCTTTTCAGCCCATTGACACGTTTAGCGTTGAACTTCAGCTAAAAATCATGGAGTAAAATTCCTGCACACTTTTACTTAAAAACTAGATCACTATATCATGTTTTATTCACCATCATCAGATTTCACTCTGTCTGTTCCCTTCTCTACTTCTTATTCAATGAAAAGGACTTCATGATATTTCATTATATTTCAATGGTACTATCAAGCTGGGTTAACAAGGAATACGAATATAATGGTGAACTAAAGAGATTTAGGCCTAGCCTCCTAGGATATTAACGAGGATTCCTTTTAATTAGGTTCAAATCCTTGAACGTAAATCAAATGGAACTTCCTAAAAGCTGTGAATTGACCACCATCATGGCGTAAAAGCATGTCTGTTTTGCAATTGGCAAAGAATTGAATAAGTTGCGATGTTTGTAAACAAATAAATTATTCAGTCAATTTTGCCAGACATTTCAATGTCGAATTGCCTCATCGAGCCAGAAATTTTATACTGATTGTTTTGACCCCTGTATTCAATAACATTTAAGAATGTGGCAATTACATGTCTCTTTCAAAACAAATATGATTTGTATTTATTTGCATAATAGATGATGTATTTTGTTTTGTATATTTTCAGTTTGAGGCCAACTGATATTATGAGGGTGAGGGTTCACAAGAAAACTTCATTTTGTTTCGTCTTCTTCATTGTGATGCTGATTTTCCTCTTGCTACAAGTTAACGAAGAACATGAAATTTTTACCTCACAGTAAGTATTGAATGGATGGCACTATGCTAGGAGAGTATTTCCATAAGGTGTTGTATAATTTATAATTTATATGGATAAAATAAAATTTAACAATATAAAATTTATTTAAATAAAACCACGAAAGTCATCGCTGTGTACATCGTACTTTTAACAGATTAAATTTGATATATTTTTGAAAGTCAACCTTTTTGTGATTAAGTTCTTTGCCGATTGATCCTTGCCACAGTTCCCTTGAAGAGTGCTTCGAAAGGATAGAACATTTCAGCATTATGCAGTATGTTTGTGGGCCCAGCTAACCCGAGTCTCCTATCGTTAAAGCATACAAAAATGTCTATCAAGCGTGAGCCCCGAAACGGCGCTCTGGTGTTATATTAACAGGCAAAACACAACCCACAATTTCTCTACTCGTTTGTAGGCCCAGCTAGCCCGAGTCTACTACCGTTAAAGTATACAAAATATCTATTAAGCGAGGGCCCGAATGGTGCTCTGGTGTTATGTTCTCAGGCAAGACTCAACCCACGATTTATCTACTTAGACGAAGGGCTACCGCTGGAAACGTCAGTTTTAGAAACTCTTAACGGTGGCCAATTTACATCAGTTATCAGTTCAGTTGATAAAACCAAATTATCTTTTATTAATTAAAGGAAAATTAGCTGATATTTTCCTAGAGTATAAACATTTCTCTCTAAATGTTTCTTATCCTGCTTTTCTCTTCTTAATTATCAATTATTACTCGACTCACTTTCATTCATTCATCTATTCATTTTTCACCCATTTATCTGTTTTTTTTTCATTTATTATTTCATTTGCTACAGGACATCCGAGCAGGAACTTTCCAGCATGAACTGGGAATCTCTAGATAGCCAGCCTCGCTTATGCGAACCAGTGAGAAATATTTTATTCTTGAAGACACACAAAACAGGCTCCAGTACTATCACAAACATCTTGAACCGCTATGGTGACAAAAATGATTTGATAATCACCCTTCCTGTCAAGAGCTTCTTATTCCATTGGCCATCGTCATTTCGTCTCTCGTTTGTAGAATCCACTTATGGTAGACCACCGAACATCCTCTGCAATCATGCCAGGTACAACAAAGTTCCCATGAACTGGCTTTTTCCAAAAGAAACATCACGCTACATTACAATTTTAAGAGATCCAGTCATGCAATTCGAATCTGTTTTTAATTTTTTTCATCTGTGGTATCATTTTGATGGCTTACAAAAAGCACGTTTTAAGTTGGAAGCTTTCCTGGATAATTCTACATTATATTTCGATCAAGTTAAAGAAAAGGTTGGTAGATATATAACCTTAAACTTAATCAAGAACCCTACGTTATTCGATTTAGGACTTGACACAGATTTCTACGAAAATCTAACTGCGGTGCGCGATTACATCCGATTTGTCGCACAAGAGTTTGACATAGTTATGCTCATGGAATACTTCGACGAGTCTTTAGTTCTTCTAAAACGACGTTTCTGCTGGAAATTCGAGGACATTTTGTATTTCAAACTCAACGAGAGAGGGGAGCAGCACGTTCGTAATAAAGACCTTTCCAAAAAGGTCAGAGAACAGATTAAGAAGTGGAACGCTGGGGATGTATTATTGTATGACTACTTCAACAAAACGCTGTGGAGAATGATAGGCGACGAAGGTCCAGAATTCTACCGCGATCTTTCCATCTTCCAGCAAAAGTTAAAAGCCGTAAAGAGTGCTTGTGTGCAAGAATATAACGTTCTCACTCCGTTAATTCCCGGAAAGAGAATTTTTGTTCATGGTTATGCTTTGAGAACTAATATTTCCAAAGAGCTATACAAAACTTGCTATAAGATGACCTTGAATGAGGCTCCATTTATGACTTATCATCGTAAAAAGAAGACGAAAAACTTTGAAGCTATTGACAATTCTGTAAATAAACCATAGTATGCTATACATACCGTGCACTTGATGTTCACTCAAGTGTGTAGACATTGATAACGGGGCTTTCCCTTTCGCTCAACCCTTCAACTCCCATAAATGATCAAGACAGAATTTCTCCTAACGATATCAATACAGTATCAAGCAGACTTGTAATGAGAATAAAGATAAATATCAATAGAGGGGATTAGTCATTGTTCCAACACCAATTATCCAAACTCACATTATGAGAATTGTACAGCGGGCAGTAAGGAAGTACTCAGTAATGAGATTTGAGAGTGAAAGGTTTAACTAAAGCTGGTTGGGAGGGAAGAGGCGGGGTTGCCAGTGGAACGCCTCGTTAGGAGAAGCTGAGACGATCTTTCAATTATTCCCTATATTGTACCCACTTATAATCATTTTCTGTGACATAAAATCTGCACGTAAATGAAAAACATAAACTGATTATCAAAATACAAAATACAATGGCGGCACAATTGAAACATGTAGTTATTTTCCAAACCCAACAAGTCTGCAAACAGACAAATTAATAGAATATATCAAACAAGCGGTTAGCAACCTCTACTCTGTGAAAATGGGAAAAGAAAAGGACAAATCTTCTTCTGGGTGGGGCGTCATTATTGAGGGCTAATTCTACATTTTACTTTGATTCATTTGCAAGTCCACCAACAGCCCCCGAAGAAGACCAGTGTATGTTGGTGCGTTTCAACTTCCGGTATATACGTTATCTTACAAGAAGTATGTCGTGTAAAAAGTCATTTAGCCTCTTGTCCTCACCAGATCTCCTCGGCCAGCTGAATGTTTTGATTTGTTTGCAAAACGAAACTCTAAGTTTATCATGGCGTACAAATTCGGGATCCGTTCATCTCTGACCTTGCTTGGTCTGCAAACAAGCAAGCAACATTTAGGAATCGCGAGAAAAGGTTTAATTCGCATGCAGCAAACGCGCGCTGCAATGGAAAACGTCGACACGAAATCATACGACCAAATTCCAGGGCCGAAGGGCCTGCCACTAGTTGGAACACTTTTTGACTACGTTCGAAATAAGGGTCACACAAGAGTGCATGAAATTCAGGCCGAGCGAGTTCAAGAATATGGAGAGATCTATCGGGAGAAACTCCTTGGTCTGGATACTGTAACCATCTCCAACGCTGACGATGTTCAGTATTTGTTTCGAAACGAAGGAAAATACCCCCAAAGGGAACCTCAGTTTCCTCTATGGATGAAATATAAAGAAGAACGGAAACAGGCCCACGGAGTGTTCAGCTTGTAAGTTCACTTTTCTGTTTAAGTATATGGTCCTCTAGTCTTAAATTTGCAAGAGTTTCATGCTTCCAATTTTTCCTTATAGCATCACTGCTGAATCAAACATTTAGTTAGAGGTTCATGAGAAGAAGCTCTTATTTGTTACACAAATTCTCCATGTCAAAACCGTGAAAATGTATAGAGAACGGTATGGAGAATATGTTACCTGATGCGAGGGCAAGAAAGGATTATCAACCATGGAGGCTTGGTTCTTCTACCTTTACCCTCTGTAGAGTGTCTAAACTCTTCCATTTAAAGTCGAAATTGACTGCAGTATGGGTGGGGGTACTACAGATCCCAGGGATTGCCTGGAGAAACATATATTTAGCTTAGAAGGGGCTGGGGCCCCTATGAGCAGGTTTTCCTGGTGGAAGCTTCTTTTGAGGTCTCAGTGGACTATTTTCCTGAGAAAATTTATGTTAGATACTACAGTTTCCCCAGCCTCATGGCCCCTACTGTCTTTGTAAAGACTAATGTCTCTGTTGGTACACTGCATCCTTTTTTTTTGCTCCCAATGCACTAATTGGAAACAATGGTCAGATCAGCTCATCAGTATCAGCGTAGGGTGTCTTAATCATAAAATACCTGTTAATTTAATAGCTATTCATTCAAATAACTAGCCACAAAAATGGCATAGATTGTTAAGCAATTACATAAACTCAAAATATGTGTGTTTTTTGGCTAAATCAACAGACAAAGAAGGACTCACTGCTCATTTGTTTCCCTGAAAAAGCTTTCCATGCCTTTTTTACCAAAGAAAAAAACTTGCTTGTTTCTTCATGTGTGGCACATAGTGGAATGATGGCTGCATATTATCCTGAATTTCATTGTTTTGAGAATTCTCTCTCTTTGTTGTTCAGATTTTTTAAATTGTGTAGAGATGCTAGTGATTTATGAAATAAACTTCATTTAGGGCACCTGCAGTAGTGGCATTTGAGATATGTTACATAGGTTTGGATAGATATTTTCATAAAGACAGAGTACTGTACAGTCATAAACTCATTATGCTGAGTCTTATTCATGCAACAAGCATCAATATTGTCATACAATGATTATGGACAACAGATATGATACATTTAATTCATTGATGACTTAAGAGATGCATTAGGTTGAAAGTTGTTGGTCTTAGCCCTCTGCATGGGTCATCATTACCTATGCTGCCTCTCTACCGACACAGGCTTTCAGACAGTATGCTGGGAGGGACTTGGGGTGAGAAAAGAGGGCCAACTTCCGAAGAGTGAAGAATTTCTGCCTATTGCATACTTCATGCCACAGGAAATTGAATGAATCCTCTCAGCAAAGCCAGTTAACATCATCAGTTACATTTCTCTATTGGTATTTGTAAGGGTCATCATGATTTAGCCCTTTGGCCCCGTGAGAGTGACTAATATCTAATTTCTCCTCACAATATCACCTCTAAGTCACACATTAAGGTCACAGGAATAAAGAAAATGATCATCAACTAAAGACACTCTTGATTGTTACACAAATTCTCCTTGTCAGCACTTTAGGAAATGTACATAGAACAGTATGGAGAGAGTGTGTCCTGGTGTTAAGAGTGTTAAGGATTTAAGAAAATCTTGACTGAGTCATATCAGGTTTTTGTATGTTGTAAATTTTGCTTTTTAAATGTAATTGCAGTCTTCTTAAAAATTAACACATTATATTAAGACTTTAGCCACAACTTAGTCATAAGATTTTGGTAAATGGGTGTTGAGGATGTAGCATAATGTTGATATGATGAATTAGTCTTGTTACAGCCAGACACAAACTTTACCCCCAGTTAAGGCTCATATCCATATCTCTGGAAGCAGAGTCTAGCACACTTTGCTTTAAATTAGTGCACCTCATCTATTGATCAGAAACTATGGTAACCATAATTATTGAAAGTATTTATTGCCTACTTGTGCTAAAACCAGATTTTTTTGTTCTGGTACCTTAAATATGTACAGCAGATGATTTATGGGGGCGTTTTTAGAGTTATTAATGCCATAATGGCACCACACTTACTAATACCTGTAATAAATCATTGATGGAACACTAAAAATTTATCTTCTCGTCCATACACAAATAGTAAATTTCAGTCATTATTAAAACATTAATATTTTTTTTTTGGTGAGGCAGACAAGGAGAGGATTGGTTTAAAGTTCGTCGAGTGTTGAACATGAAAATGCTGAAACCTAAAGTTGTTGGTGAATACTCAAAACCACTAAATGATGTCATATCTGACCTGTTACATCGGACTAAACAGACACGTGATAGTGATGGTGGCATTCCAGACATTCAACAGGAACTCTTCAAATGGTCTTTGGAATGTGAGTGTTAATAATAAAATCTTTGCAAAGTTTATCCTCTGCTTTACAAAGTATTAGATTTCTCGAAGGCGGCGGTCTGGTTAAAGAAAAAAAAACAGGTAAAGCAAGTGCGTCTAGTGCGCAGTTTAAATTCGCTCCAAAAGTTCAGTAAATGAACAATTGGTTCAAGCGTCGGTATGCGTTTATTGAGATATGAAGCACGCGGAAAGATTGGAAAGCACGAAGAATGCGTGACAGTTCCTCGAGATGGAGCCGTGAGCACCTTTAACTTCTTGCGTGCTCTCTAGACTTTACAACTGCTTCATGTGTCGATGAAGTCACAGTTAACGCCCAACTTTAACTTGAAAACGTTGAAAAACCAAGATCCTTAGATTTAAACATGGATTGTGACTTGCTGACTCGGTAATAAAATTGAAAAAAATGTCAACGAGATGTCGTGTTCTTTCATACTGCAGCGGTTGGCACGGTCCTTTTTGAAACAAGATTTGGCACCTTTGGCAAATCGCCGTCACCAGAAGCTGCCAAGTTTATTGAAGCAGTGGGGAAAATGTTCAATCTGATTCTGAAGGTATATGTTATACCTCTTTGGATTGACAAATTCTACAGACCAAAGAGCTTTCGAGAATTTTACGACTGCATGGATGTGATGTACGACTTTGGCAACAGCTGTATCGAAAACAAGTTGAGCGAAATTCGCAGAAGACTGGAAAATGGAGAAGAACAGGATGAAGATGCAGCGGAGTTTTTGAGTTTTCTGATCAGCAGAGATGACATCAGTTCCACAGAAATAACTGCAAACTTGGTGGAGATATTGATGGCTGCTGTGGAAACGGTATGGAATAATAATCGCCATGTTTTAAACAAGAAGTAGATTGGTTACGAAAATCTTTAATTGATTGGATTTTACATGCATGAGCGATCATACCTGACCGTAAAGAGCTCTGTTGGAATTCCCCTCCCGTCTTAGGAGAACGCCACGGAGACATTAAGTAGAGATAAAATAAAATTACCTTGATATATCTACAAAGAAACGTTTGACATGAATTGGACGAATTATACAAGTATCTGTCAGATTAATTCAACAAGGGGCGCCCGTGACTGGAAAACCAGAACGCGAACTTTAATTGAATAATTTAACTTATTTTTTGTGATCCCCAGACGTCAAACACAAGCCTGTGGACTTTATACCTGCTTGCCCGAAATCCTTCTGTACAAAAGCAGCTTCATGAAGAGGTTAGCGCAGTTCTTCAACCAGGTGAACTAGCAACTCCTGCAACTTTACAAAAAATGCCTTTTCTTAGAGGATGCGTAAAGGAAACCTTAAGGTACTGTGGCAATTTATTTCAGTTTTATGCTGTGTGTTGCTATGCTAACAGATAAACCGGCAAAAACTGCAACTGTAATATTTTTGTATTCGTGAAAATCTTTCTTACGGTTGGATATTGACTTGACAACCTTTATACTTTCCAAACTGACCCTAGCTTTTTTTCCTGATACGAGGATTATTATTTGCAGCGATGAATTGATATCTTCTACTTTTTATAAAATGGCAACTGCTTTGATGTAAATTTATCCAGGCTTTATCCAGTCGCTACGGAAAACGCTCGCATGCTTCAGGAAGACATCGCCATTCAGGGCTACCGCATACCACCAAACGTGAGTCAATACCACTGCTACAAGGAATATAACTGAGAAGTGGTGTGTTTTGTGGTGTTTAAAATAAACAAAATCGTTCGACTCTTTGAACATTGTAATATTAGGAGAAAATTGAAGTCATCAGGTTTCCGCGATTTCTTTCTTCAGAATTTTTTTACTAACTTTTCAGCCACGGTTTTTTATGGATCATCCAGTGTATAAAGTTTAAACGAAAATTTCGAGTAGTTCTGTTAAAGTTGATAAGCTGGGTCATTGAAGTGACGTGGTGGCCGCAAATTGTCTTGTTTACCACTCCTGTGCGGTCTTTGATTCGCTCAATCTTCTATTTTATTTTGGGTAAAAAACAGACGATGATACGTGTTCCACTGTATGCAATGGGTCGTGATCCAGCACTGTTTGATGATCCTTTGGAGTACAAACCTGACCGGTGGCTGAGGGATGACACGAGCAAGTCCCATTATCATGCGTTCGCCTCGCAACCTTTTGGATTTGGCACCAGGATGTGCCTTGGTAAGAAAGAGGAGCTTTGAACTGGGATTTCTTAAGTAACAGTCTCATTTGGAAATTAGGAGCATATCAGGTTTTGTATTGTTAGTTGTGACTTTTTCATTCCGGGGAGAAGATTTGCAGGGGGGTGGGGGGGGGGGAATTTCTATAGCTACCCTCTCGAAGCAGTAGCGTGCATGATAACCAGCAAAATGTATTTCTATTCCTCATTCCATAAGATTTGCGAGAGTGTTACTGATACATGTAAGAGTGTAGATCGCGAAATTTCAGTTTTGATGTATTAAAACGCTGTCTTTTGTTAAAAATCGTTGGAAAACATAATTTACATTTATATGAAGTGTGTCTGGTCATAGACCCCTGTAATATTAACAGTATACGAAGTTCATTCAAAACATCTAGTCCCTTCACTGTTCGAGGAAATTTAGATCTTTCCTTTATCAAATCGCTTATCAGCGAATTTCCAAAGAAAAGAGCTTCCCAAGTTACACTCTACAGGCTTTTTTTTAGGAAAATCAACTTCCTTTCTAAACAAGAGTACTAGCCATTTTCTGAGGTGATACCAATGAATTGGTTGAGCGCGATCTTGAGGATTTCATTTGTAATGCATTTAAATTTTTTCCTGAGCATTTTTTGTCTTACTAGGTCGCCGTGTGGCAGAACTGGAAATGCATCTTCTTTTATCTCGGGTAAGATTTTTAAACCTGACAGTCGATTTTCTTCTTTGGTATTTAATACGCCTTTTCTTATTATTTGTATTTTTTTTTTTTGTGGCGTTCTTGGGTCTCTATGAACATGAGTAAAGGCAATTTTTGGCTTTGCATCTGTATAAAAAATACCTTCCTATCTTGAGTGTTTCCTAATAATCTGACAAACAAAAACAACTGATCAATGCGGTTTTTTTTATGTTGATGAACCGAAACCGGTTGTAAAATTTGTTTGTAGAACGCTTGAGATAATTTCCTATTTGTTTGCAGACATGTGACAGAGCAACGCTCAATGACTTTTTGCAACACGTTTTCAAAGTTATTTTGGTTTTATCCTCTTCTAATTACATTGTGCATTATTTACTTTGTTCCATCAGGTGTCGCAGAACTTCTGGCTTGAGTCGCTTAATGAAGTGAAACCAAGGATCACTGCGCTTCTTGTCCCGGACGGAGAAGTCAAATTGAGATTTATTGACCGCTGATATCAAACGGACCTTAAATGCACTATACCAGCACATCTGTTGCGTTTGAAACCTCAATTTAATCTGATAATTAGAGATAAAATCTGAAAATTAAGGCCACTGTTTAGGTGGTCTTGATTAGTTGGCGTAATCTGCGCCAGCTTCGGCCGTCCAGGTCACTCACCCTTTTTGTTTTTCTTTGAGATCGTTAAAAATTTTATTCAAGTGAATCGAATGGACGTTTGATCGATACTTGAATTTCCTAAGTCTACTGTTGTGAGTATGCAGGTCCAACGAAAACGTTAGTTGATTTGCTGGCTTTTTTTTTTTTTTTTTTTCTTGCAGCTCTATGAGTCACATTTCATATTGCGCTGCATATGATTCAAGTACAGAACAAAGAGAGAGTTAAAATTTACCTTGAAAATCATCTCTACTCTGTAAAAAACATTCGCTCTCAGAACTTTATCAGAAATATTCCTCAGTGTTTGCTGCTTCAGCAGTGGTAACGAATGAAAACATTTAAACAGAATAAGAAACGCCACATTACGATAGAACGCAACTATTACCTCGGCGAAAAAATAGGTGTCCTGAACTGTAGCCAAGCACTTCTGTCAGAAACTTTCACAATTTCCGGTTTATCCATGAAGATGTATACTCCGAAAATCGTGTAAATTAGAAAGAATACATAAGAATTTACCTTAAATAATTCATGTATACTTCTGTATAACAAAGATAAAAGTAATATGGTTAGGAGGCGTACTTCTCTATTAACTGGAATAACACGAATAAAGATGTTATCACATACTGAAAGGCCTGTAAACCGATCTATCAATGGTTTGATATAGTTTTACAAGTTTATCACGATGATAGTCTAGGTATGGAATTTCATTCGTAATCATTTTGTGGCATGTATCATTTAGTTCTTCAGAGACATCTGGTCGTACCGCATAACCCTGTACAAATCTCCCAGAATACGGCTTGGTTAGAAAATTTCCCTCTCGCAGGCATTTTGTTTTAATATTTTTCAACTCCCTTCGAAATAGTGAAAGATCTTCAAAGAAGGCCGGACCTTCTTCCTTGATCATCTCCCAGAGTGTTCTATTAAAAGCATCGTACAAGAGCACATCGCCTGAATTCCAATGTCTAATTTGGTCCTTTACTAGACTTGGTATTTTCTGTTTGTGTTTTTGCAATCTTTCATTGAGTTTAAAATAGAGAATGTCCTCAATTTTCCAACAAAAACGTCGTTTTAGAAGTATTAGTGACTCGTCGAAATGTTCCATCAGCATTACTATGTCGAACTCGTGTTGGAGAAAGCGAATGTAGTTACGCACTATGTCCAAATCTTCGTGATATTTTGTATCGAGACCCAGCTCAAATAAAGTCGGATTCTTCGTCAGTGTTAGCAATCCTGTGATGTTTTTCACTTGCTTAAGATAAAACGAGGCATTTTGAAGAAACGCTTGCAATGGGAGGACCTTGTTTTTCGGTCTAAAGAGACGTTTATCAAGATGAAAAAAGTTAAAGACAGACTCAAAATGGTCTGTTGGTTCCCTCAAAAGCGTAATGTAGCGTGTTGTTGTCTTTGGGAAGAGCCAGTTCATGGGAACTTTGTTGTACCTTGCATGATTGCAGAGGATGTTTGGTGCTCTACCAAATGCTTGTGTGAACCTAAGTTGAAATGGTCGAGGCCAGAAAAAACTATAAAGTGATCGTGAAATTGGCAATGCAAACATTAAGTCTCTCGTGTCGCCATAGCGATTTAAAATGTTGGTCACAGTACTGGACCCAGTTTTGTGCGTCTTCAGGAATAAAATATTATTCACAGGCTTGCACGGTGGAGGCGGCGTGTCATCAGATAGCAAATCATTTACAAAATCGTCAACTTTGCAGTCATTGTCACAGTCACAAACACTCACTGGCTTTAAGCTTTCAGTTCTTGTTTTCCTATCAAAGTAAAAAATCATATATGTTACTATTCAGATGCAACATTCAAGATGTCTACCATATTATTCGCTCATAGTACAGATCAAAAGCGTAGTTAATGGAGGTCCTGGGGTGCCCGTGAACTCCCCTTTGTAAATCTTTTTCTTCACATTAATAAAAGCAAAGCGTGGAGGTCGACACAAAAATCTGGTGAGTACCCTCTGTTTGGCTCAGTGTGAGAACCTCCCCCTCCCCGTTCTCCTTAAAAAAATCCAGACGACACCCTGCAGATACGACTATTGCTAGGCCACTACCTAGCATTTCGCGAAGGTACCATGACGGTTCGCCGGTAACCGTTTACCCGTGGGAAGAGAGAAACGATATGGAAATAAAGCGTCCTGACTATCCACACAACACAATGACCCAACCTGATCCTGACCCCGAACCACTCCACTCGGAACCCAGTGTACTAATTGTCAGGCCACCGTCTCTCCAATGCATATGGAGTCTACAGTAATGAGTTTTGTGCCCTGAACAGCGCGCTCTCAACCTAAGCTCTTTTCAGTCGTCGGGTATTTCAAGGTGTTCGCGCTCCTGTACATGTAGTTAACGATATTCAGCAAATCTCGACAAAAACAGCCAAGGGCACGTTTAACACGTATGGCTGACATCTCTTTGCTCTTAGGCCTCTTTTACACTTATCTAAATACTGAGACCCTTCGGCTCTTAATAGATGGTAGCACGAGTGCACGCACAATAACTGACCACGTTTCCAATTTTCTACACCACCTAGTTTTCTTAGCGCTCCGTTGAGAGAGACCGAAAACGACGACAGCAAGGAAAAGATTACTCTTGCATCTCTTTTCCTTACCAAACTTTCACTCCAGGCTCTTTTTATGTTTATGGTTAGGTAACACTTCCACCCAAAAGTTCGTGATCTTAGGGAAATGGCCTCTATGCTCTTTGTGCGTAAGCTCAGGCGACATTCTTTACAAACTCTTTTGGGATGCGCACCGTCAAAGTGGACCCTAAAAAGACTGCTGGTTCCCGATTTAGATTTCAAGGTGTCGATGTCCGTTCCACTGGACAAAGATAACGAAGGCTCTTGCGACAAGGTAATTAACATTAAGAAAACCGTATTTAAAAGGACAAAGAAAAAATCGTGAATTTAAATTCATAATTGAACAAAAACTAATCTGACTCTAGTATTCGCCCTGCAGCGCTTTGAAACATCTGTAGTTCAATTTTTTGTTTTTTGTTTTTTGTTTTTCTGGGTTGAGAATATTGCTTTTTGTGACAAAAGTCATGTCTGTGTTTGAAAGAAAATTGCCAGTCTATTCAGATCTTCTTGCTGCGACTTTCAAACATAATATCAACTTACCACAAATATCACAGCAAGTACTAGAAACATTAAGAAATTCAAACAAAGGTGATTCTTTGTATTTGCAATAGAAAAATATATTATTTCTCTGTTCACATATATTTTTCAAGTAACCTTCGATGAAACGATAAATAAATGTCAGCATTGGAAGAAAAATTTTTTTAATATTTAAACTCCAATACCACTAAAACTTGAGTGGCTACATTGTTTTGCGTTTATATTTAAATGAGAACCACGTCCGTTGGTCGATATGTCGTGAATAAGCAATTGTGTTTTATATCACATAGCTCAAGTTTTTCTCAGCAGATTTGAGCGGCTGTCTCATCCATTTATCCAAAGAACTTCTAAAATAAACCTGGTTTGGGTTTGATAGTCAAGATAATTTTTGCAACCATATCGTTGTTGAGTTAAACTTGCATCCAAGTATCTTGAATTCCTTACTACACATTTGACGGGATTTCATATCAATCCTTACATAAAACTCAAAAAAGGATTGACTTCTGTCGTGATAATAGCGATCAAATGAACTGTTTAAAACATAATCAGTAAGAAGAGCTATGATTTTTTTATTTAATATACCGAGAACTGAGCAAGGTGGCCGGTTAAATATCAAATTACTATTGCTTAAACAAACACGAGAAGGCAAATATCACGTTTCCGATCAATATTTCCGCAGGACATATATATTGGTTTTCCGCTTACCTTGTGAATACATTTATTCTGCGAATCAAAGAATTTCAATCATGCAAGTTTGGTAAAATAAATTTCATTACGAGTAGGTCAGAGTTGCCTGCGTCATTTTCAAGACTTTCTCAGTCTCGATCAAAACTTGCGGGCTTTATTTGTGACACAAAATCTGTGTTCAGAAATGCGAGAACTCAACCACAACAACCATCGGTGTCGGTAATACTTGCCTAACATATATTTCGCACTTAGACTATTGTCCAAAAAAAAATATATAACGTTCACTTACTCAAATCCGTAAGAAAGTACTCTTTCACATCCGCTAAAATACAAAGCCCAACCAAGAACCAGGGATATACAAAGAAAGCACGAAAACGGTCTCCGACGAATCGGAACTAAAACTCTAGACGCCATCGCACACTGAAGAAAGTAGAGGAAAGACAAATTAGCAATTAGCATATTAATTTGTCAGTTATCAGATCATATGTGCCGTAAAAATGACGCACTATGCTTTTTAATGGAAGCGTTTTTAGGTCAACATGACAACGCTTTTATTATATTTGATAAAGTGTTGCTAAGTGTTTTCATTTAACATCACTAGGTCAAAAGAGTATCTTAGTCTTTTTCGCCTTGGAATAAAGAATCATTCGCGCAAGAGTAATCTGGAATACCAAAGACCATGACGAAAGAATTGAAAGAAAGAAAAACCTTCTAATCGACGGGCAGAACTAAAGAATTTAGACACATCAATATTCCCAACAATGCTTGTCATTTTGGAAAATGTCTAAGTATAGATCCCAGGTGGTCTGCTTTAACTGGCTCCCAGAGTTGTCATTTAAGTTGTCATTTAAAGTTTGCAATATTGACTATTTAGTTCAAACTTTTACCACAAACAGCACATTTCTATTTTTCTACCTAACAATCCGTACTCGTTGCCATAGCCCAGTCCTGGCAGGTAATGAATACAGAGAAAAAAATCTAATTAAGAGACTTTTCTTTCCGTATACATGAGGCTTTTAAATCCCCATACGCCGAACAATTGAAAGCTTCAACATCCACCCTTGGCAATCCACGGGCATTTGACTGTCGTAGGTGCCCCAGAGGTGGGAAATTTGAACCTTGCCTCGGTGGGGTGGGGAATTTGAGACAGAGGAAGACGTAAGTTTTAGTTTTAAATTTAGAGGAGTTTAAAGTCCGCTTCCGTTAGCAAATGGCTTAGAAGAAATTTTCATGTGGTAGAATGATGCTTACAAGTGAAAAACCAAACAGCGGCACTGAAAACTATAACGTGACTTTGCTAAATTCTACAAATTCGTTTATCACTCAAAGAATCGTTTATTACAAAATTGTGCTTGGGTGGTGCATTTGAACGCAATTTTTGTCTGAAGGAGCGTGAATTTGAAAAAACCAACCATTAAAAGTTCAAATGCCCGGGGATGGGATGTAGAAGCTTCGAACTGATCGACGCATAATCTTTTACAAGTTCATGTGTCGACATTATCTCTATGATAACCTCTTCCAAATACTAATTGTAACGACTGAATCCCCTTCATGGGCCTTCCACCTAAGATAATTCTTTCTATTGTGATTTATTGCGCAGCACATCGGAGTATTCGAAAATAGCCAAATTTTCTCTTGAAAAATTAGTTCAGGTAGCTCCTATTATTCTTCACAGACATCCAAGCAACACACGAGGGTTTTGTGTCACTACTTTCGAGAAACCACATCTGTAGAGTCTACAAATGACTTGAGATAAAGTTCCCCCCCCTTTCCCTTTTACAGGTATTGGATCGATTTAATCGTCGTCCGTGCCCGGGGTTTGGGAATTTGAACCTTACCTGGCTGGGGTGGGGAATTTAGACAGGAAGTATCAAATCTTTTTTTTTTGCGTTAACTTATTTCAGGGGAATTTAGACAGGAAGTATCAAATCTTTTTTTTTTGCGTTAACTTATTTCTGTGAGAGCCTCCAATTTGAACCAATAGAAAGGGTAAAGACGGTGCATTATTATCAGCAATTTACCAATGGGGCAAAGCAAATGTAACAGCTTTCTAGTTGTTGTCATAACCATCCCTTAGTAACTTAACCTTCCGTCAGGCAAGATTAATTGCTGAATATCAGTCGCTTGTTAAATTTTTTCGAAATGTCACCCTTGTGAGAAGCCGAGGTGAATTTTGTATGTCACGCCAGATTGTCACAATATATAGCGTGACAGAGACAGCTGCTATACCAAACCAATGTTGTTAAATGAAAACGTTCATGTACAATTGTGAAAAAAAAAAACAATCAGTATCGCAATCCGAGTTCTAAATATGCGAATATAAGCGTGGAATCCCTGACACAGACTTATTATTGACAGTGAGTCAGTAGAAATCCGTAGAATATCTGATGAAAATCTACTTGTTTTGCGGTATATTCGGTTGATATAAATAGATCGGCTCTGAATGAATAAGAAAGCCCTCCTACAAACAAGCGGCAAATTAAAAGAAAACGAACACTTCTGAAAATTATTAAAACTCTCAAGTAAAATAATCCGTGTTGTTGAGTGCTAAAAAATCAATTTCTTGTCTAATTTTGACAGTATTTCTAACAGCTCTCTCTGTTAGATTTCATTATAGCAATATCCTCCAGCATCAGCCAAATTATATTTGTTAAGCCTGACAACGTCAAAAATTAAAACATATATCAACTAGGTTCAAAGAAATAATCAGATTGAGGCACTCACAGATCTCGGTCCGGGTTATCTGTGGCTGTAAAGACGAATTTGTGAGGTGTTTTCGAGATAGAAACAACTTAACACCCAACGTATTTATAGAAACATGACTAATTGGCAGAGAGACGACAATTTCAAAGCCTTAAAGGCAAAAAATGCAAATTTTGCTTTCAAAACAATCAGTGCTCATCTGGGATATTTCACTTCCAGTGTGACGATGTACAACCATGCCTCCTCAATATTTCAAAATTTAGAGAATAATTGTATTCAGAAGCGAACTTGATTGAAATGATTTTATCGCAAATTTCAACTTCTTAATCTATTCAGCTAAGTCCTCAAGGCCTCTACAGACCAGACGAATGGTCACCAACAACCGTATGGGTTAATATTCGCAAACTGAGTAGTGTTCTTTACCTTTTTGCTGTGTCTTGAGGCGGTGATATCACATTAAACACTCTTCTCTCATAAAATCGTAGGGCAATTCCAATCAGGGCGAAAAATAGGACAAAACCAAGGAGAATAGTGCATTTACGTGATCGAAACATTCCGCACATGGTGCTTACAAGTGAATAGCACGGAACGGTGAATCACGTGAATTGAGCGGCTGTCAACCATATCGATTTCTGTAACTGTCGGTGCAAACAATGTTGTTTTGTTTTTATATCTAATAACTGCATTTGCTAAGCCGCATAGCATGGGATGGATAAAAACTCCAGCTAGGAATTCGGAAAAAGTAGTATCAAGGCGTTTGCTTCGTTGTAAATAACCTAAAATCCATTCAGAGCTCTGAATTAAATTAGTTTGCGTGACAACAACAGACAAGGTAGCGACCTGGTTACATAGCACTTGAAGCGGATATGAGTCTACATAGAGTGAAGAATAAACTACACAAGTGGATGTGCTAGGCTTTAATTGAGAACTGAATGAAACGATGAATAGGAGGAGGAAATGAGAAAGGATAACTTCAAAATTATTGATTAGAAATTACACTTCAGAATTCCATTTCTAGTAATTAACTTCGATTGCCGGCAAGCCGGAGTTAAAACTATGGAGGAAAAGAAAAACAGCAGACGGTAACTCACACAGTGATTGATTAAGTAAAAGAGGACCCGTTTGCATGGCGCTGGAAACGGAAGTTACTAAACATCATTTATAAAAAAAGTTTAATGTGGAATGGGAAGTGTGTAACGAGCGCTAAGAAATGAGAACTAAAAACTGAGAGAGTGGAAATAAATGATTAGAATGGAAAACGATGAATAGGTAATGAAAAAATGAAAAAATAACGAAAGGGGATTCTAGCCTAAATTGCCACCTTAAAAATTCAACCTCGACCTAAGGATTCGAAATTCGGATCAATATCAGTATCTGGGCAACTGCCCATCTACCCCTCCCCTGACTCAACAATTAACAAATAGATTTCAAGTTGCCGTGCGTCTTACTGAACAGACGCACGGCAACTTGGAATCTATTTGTTTTATATCATAAAGAATTAAAAAAGTTTCAATGATGGCGTCATCTATAGGTCTGTCCTCCAATAGATCATAAGTGAGAACCAATCAGAATGCGTGCATAACTGAGCTTACTATATAACAGTCAATTGATAACAAGTTAGGGTTAATGTTTCCCAGATACTGATATTGATCCCGAAATTCTATATCCTAACAACTGCAAACGCGGGCAGTAGACTGGTAAATAGACATACTTTATTAACTTCAAACTTTGAAGAAACTTTGGAAAATTGAAATTTCACTATAACTTTACGGAGCACTAGTTCAAATCCTATCCCAAACATCCTAGCCAAAGGGCAACTTTTTTTTTAAGTGCAGCTCCTTATCAAATCCAATTCTCCTGTGGTTTTAATTTGTTCTGCACCGATAACATAATCATACAATTCGAGAAATTATAATCTCTTCTCCTATAATTGCAGAACTCGATGCTTTTCACCATATATCTTCTTAGCTTATGATCAGCTCAGGGTGTTTCCGCCAAACAGGAGGTTGAAAATTAATTTGCGAGCGGACTTCAGTCTGTCCCCTTTTTCCTCGTTTCAGGCTTGATTCCTCTGTAGTGTAACCTCAGGCTAAATTGTCTGTTCCCTTAAGATCTTCACCCGAGAGAGGTTTTGAATTTACTCTATCCCTATGGCTAAAACTATTATTGGCTACATAAGTAATGGTTCATTAACCCCTTAGCTCAGAATTTACAAAGTTAAATTGTCTATTACCTTATCAGGTAAAAGACAAACCTTTCGAGGGTGCTTACTTTATATATCACGCGATTCTCCTAACTAATTTTAAATGAAACGTAAGGCTGTTTGGCCTGAGAATTACGAATCAGATAACGGGAGATTAAAGTTGATTTCTTTTTTGGCTGAGGCTTCTGAATGATCACTGGCAGACCTGGAAAAAATAGTCAATAAATTACGAACAGAACAGATGTTTCTATGTATATCTCGGGCTTTTCTTTGACTTGCATTTCTTCTTGGCCAAAATGTTTGAGTGCAAATTAAATGTATTTCATCGATATGAGAAAAGCTTGGTGCCCAATCTCCGCAAGACCTCTAAAATCTCATTCCCAAAGACCGACCTAGTAACAACATAAAACCAAGATACCAGATCTCTCACGAAAAAGCAAATGAAAATACGTCCCCCTCCCATTTTTTTTCTTTGTCAATTTTCGGAAGCATGATAATATTCTATAGCGCTTAAATGCCCATAACCTGCTCCAGGAATTCAGTCAGTAAAACACAGCGCTATCGCAAACGGCGTGGCAATAGCGGATGGGTGAAAAACGAGGGAAGTTTAGATCGAGTCACGTAATGCGACCCGACCCAAACCTCCTTTGTTTTCGCTCTGCCGCTGTGACACCGCTACGATCTCGCTCCGTCGTACTAACTTAATGCCTGGAATAGGCTAATATTCCTATATCTGCGTAAGTGGATACCTGATAGTAATAGCTAGCTTCTTGATCCCTCATTCCATAATTTGATCCGCCGGACAGACCGAACTGATTTCTAATACCATCCGGAAAATATCGGTCCCAGTCTTCTGACATAATTGGCTCTACAAAATCACGCCAATCAACTATTGGAAAGTGCTGCGAATAGATATAAAATACCCAGATGTTAGAGGGTTCTAATAAAAAAAAATAAAGCCTGAGTTCACAAGAAATAACTTGGCCTAATGTAACAAAGTTATAAGCTCCTTCCCTGTGGTCACCCATTCCCTGTGAAATTCTGAAATTTTGATTTAATATGCCAGAATTGAGGTTGATATGCCACAATTTACACCATTCATTGTCTTGCACAGAGTAGAGGAATAAACGAATTTTTCATGTTCAAGAACATACTTCGCTCAACCCATGGATTTTTAAGGTATTTATTTTAAGTTTAAATGACTCTGTTGTAATCCAATCGAATTTAGGGAAGTGCCTTGCAACCAACTCATTCCCTATGGTTTATTTAAGAGTATTGGTCTGAAATACTTATGTCGGAAAAATCCTTCTTGATAGGACCGATATTGCAGTTTTGAGTTTCTTAAAGTATATCGACAAAAAGCAAAAAAAAATTTGCAGAATTATCCCTCAAATGTAAGTTAAGGACAATGTTGATCTTGTTGTTAATGAGTGAGTTTAATGTAATAAAATTTTACCCCATTATACGCTGGTCCATTGTACTCTGGCATCACGACTGGTCCGACGAAGTCTAGTAATAAAAAATTGTGGATCAGTTTTCTGCATAATGAAACTAGGCAGTCCTTCAAAAGCAAACCAATCTGACAGGGGATACTTTTCGGCGCACAGTTACCAAAAAGGACGAGACCAAATTGTGATTAAAACACATCAATACGGCAGATAGGTCTCTTCTATACAAATTAATCGAATCCTGTTTTCAAACTCCTCAGAACGGAATCCTTGGGCTGTATATGGAACTGTGCAATTCAATATAGTTCTGTCTCAAACAAAGAAATCGAAAGACTACCTGTTACTCAGCAATCTACATTCAGCACAATGAGTGTAATTTTAGCTATTTGATTAGTTTCAAAGTAAACAAAACCAACACAATGTGGGTTTAAGTATTTCACTTTCTTTTAGAGATAAAATTTAGTTTTGGAACAACAGGTCTTGTTTATAAGAATGACTAGAGCACGAGTAGATTAAAATCGGAGAAAATGAAGGTTACAAAACAAAGTGAACATTGTTGTGAGTCGAATTTGTTCATCTCTTATTTTGTGATAAATTTCCGGTCCATTCCTTTATCTAAATCAAATAGCTTATGGCAAGAAAAGTTGAAAATAGCAAATGCACTGCGAAAATACGATTTTATCTATTTATAAAGCTTCATTTTTATTGAAAGAATTCAATCGAATTTCTTGTATTGTGATGTCTTCCCGCGCAAGTGTAGTTTTCATACACAAATAAGTTAGCTCCAGAGTGTATCACATGTTAATCATTTTCGTTCTAGTAAAAAATGATTGGTTTCAAAAATCCCTTTTATGATTTTAATACAATTTCAAGAAGATAAGAAAATAACTTGAGAACGGCATTGACCGAGAGACTTTGTCTTCATGATGCATCTGAATCTCAACTCTAGCAAGCAAAATGAAATACACAGTTATATAGTTGGGAGGATTAGTTCTTACGAGTATCTGCCTGTATTTGATCAGACCGTACTTACCACCTATAATGTTTCCTTCTGGACTCCTGTAATACTCGTCGCAAACCTACAAATACAATTGTAGAGTCCACATATTGAAAACACTGCGTAGCCATTGACAGAAGTAATTGTGCCAATACAAATTTGTAGTTATGTGGTGAATACTTCAATACTTAATCGCCGCATGACCACACTTTCGAACAAATCATAAAAAAGAGGAATGTTAAAAAATTGCACAGAGAGGTCTAATGTCTTCGAGAGAACTGAAATTTCTCATTCAACCGAACGGAGACATCTATTCAAGAGTGAACGACAGACATCGATCTACTTCTTCTGTTAATGAGGAAAAACACATTTCCGAATTTGCTTTCAATAAAAAGAAATAGTAAGGGAAAGGAAATTAAAGCACAAAGTTAATTCTGTATATTTTTAAAAATAACTAACAAAAATATACAAAAAAATCTATGTTAGTCGTACTTTTCAAGATTCAAGATAGTCTTGCCTAGCACAAAATCACACCGAAATTTAGATCAATTAACACAGTAGTATTAACAAAATTAAAAAATTAAAACACATTAACCCAATGCGCTATATAAGTAGCCTGGTTGCGTTTTTATGTAGTCGCAGGAATGCTGCTTTGATATAATCACTTCAAAAATTCTGCATTCTATACCTGTAGAGGATTCAGCATTCTTCCTACTCCCAAGGGATCTGGAGGTCCCCTTATCGGTTCCATCGGAGAGAGATTATCAGACTCCACTGAATCCAGAGACGGGGGTCTGCTGTTTCTTTTCCCAGGCGAACGCTTGCAGGCATTGTTACGGTCTGAGATTTACAAACAATCAATCATTCGTTTGAAGTTTAGTTTTGCACAGTTTTTAAAACGCAACGAAAGCTGTTGCTTAGGTTTCAGTAGAAAACTGTGCTTTCTTCATTCGAGTTAAATTTAGGCAAAACTGTTTTTTTCATGCGAGTTAGATTTTTGCGCATTTAAAGCCCTGATCTAGCCGTTGCGTGAGGCCGCTTATCTATGTTAATTAAACTACATCATTTTAATCAGGAAGATGAGGCGAAATACTGTTAAAGCTTCCACAAGATTGTTCGAGATCAGTTCTCGAGTTATTGGCAAGCTTTTCGAAAAAAGCCAGTTATCGAAAAGCCGTCAAAAAGGCCCCTCAAAAGACCTCATACCGCCATCGATAAAACATTTTAAATTTAACAAATTGTGGATGTGTTCACTACCCCTTCTTCCACTGGCTGCCACTTTGGAAAAAAAAGTAATGAAAGACTCTGAGAATTGTGGCCACGAATGGCACCACATACTACAAGGAAGTCAAATGTTCTTTATGATCGATGTTGCGTTTTTAGCGATGAAAAGCAACTTTTTCCTGTGCGTGATTTTTATCATTCGATCTTCACAAAGCTAACGAGGGTTGCGGAAGGTGCCATAGGGAAACTCTACTCTTCATTCGTGATCTTTCGAATATGTCCTATGCTCCGCCCTTGAATGACAGTTTTGTTCGCTTGTTGTGAATACAAGAAAGCTGATACTTAAAATACAACACGCATATTTTTATGTTGCGTGTACTTTCGACTGAGTATTCGAAACAAAAAAACCTAATTTGGCTAACATATTTTAAAAACTTAGCTGAAAAAATCGTCTGTATCCAAGACCTCGTGGCAATTAGTCATCACTGATACTAAAGAGATGCGAGAATTCATGAATTAAAAAAAAGGATCGAAAGTCATCTCTGTGAAGATAAGGAAGTGGTTGGTCTGTTTTACCACTTCAATTGTAAATTTATAAAAATTAACCATGAAAATTTTAATTTAAAAACTAACAAAAGGGACAGTCGCATCTGAATGGAATAGAAAAATTTTTCTCAGCAGCGCGGCACCGGCCGATAGTTGCGATCAAATTCGGTTGTAACGAGAACCTTCGATTTATATTCAAATTTTATTATCCTGTTCATGATGGTCCTTTTAACCACGATCTCTTACAAAATTTGTATTCAACAGGAGAAATCAAAATTTATGTTTTAAATCTGCCCTTGTGATAAATTTCCTGCTTTAATCGTAACTTCTCGCATGAGTAAAGTACTATGCGAAAAATACGACAGCCTCTACCAAAATAAAAAGAAACAGATTAAACGGATTTCTACGTATCTTTTACCACGAGGCCCTTTAAACTTTTCAAATATCAAGATGAATGAAATTACGCCGGAGCTAGTAATTTTCACGTTAACAAGAATAAATATTCGACTGATATTGGCTGGGTCAGAGCTATTCAATCCAACCTGCGTCAATGCATTCTTTTGGAAAACCATGCACTCAAATAACACTTATTTTCTCGACCAGAAGAAGTAAAATATTTAAAATGTCTTCAGTCTTGCATTGCACTCATAGAGAAGATCTCGCTCTTATTCCGTTTTCCAATGTCTATTAAAAATTACATAAAAAAGAAGAATGAAAACAATAGCGTTTATTTTCATTAAAATATAATAAAAAAAAAAGTTAATTGTCGCGAGTGGAGACAAACAAAGAAATTTCAGTCCTGGAGAGGGATTTCGAACTTATACTTCAGGATAGCCACAAGCGCTACAGAGTTACAATGACGATTCTATCATGTTAACTGGGCAATTTTCATTATCATTTCATTCATTAGATGTCTCTCTTGATTCCACGTGTATGATATTGAGCATGAATATGTCTACGACGCATTTGCCAGATTCGTACAAAAATCCTAGCTCATTGCGGTCACTCTCGCTTGGTAATCAGACTTACTGTCCCAAAATTATCTTTAACAAATGCACCACCGGCAGAGCTAACATAAAAGACGGCCATGCAGTTAGTTCAGCATGAATTGTTACTTGACTATTGTTAATGGGGAGCACGATTAATTCAGATTTATCTTGGTGCATGAACCTTTCAATTTCCGCGTTGGAACGTTCTTCAAAAAACTTGAAACAATAAATAATTTCCTTTTCCGCATTTAAATTTTTTATCTCTAACAAAATAGAGAAAAGCTACATGAATTATGATTTGATCATAATTATTTTCTAATCAGTAGATCTATGTAATAAAACTTTCAAATTTGCCGTCTTGAGGTTGGAGTTTTTCCAGGGCCTGTACGTGATCACGATCTTTTAATAAAAATAATGTTTTTTCTTCAATGGTTGTGTTTTCTTTCTTTTTCCTTTTCATTTCAAAGCAAACAAGAGTACAGAGAGACACGTTGCCATTCAAGTGTTTTTGAAAATCAACAGGTTGCAAAGCAAATTGCGGCGAAGCGTGATTTAACACTCAAATAGTATTGTCACCAATACAAAGACATTTCTAAAGCAAACGAGAAACTTATTCGGCCGGTGCCTTGCTAGATTTGTCTTCCTGTTTGCTTTGGCGCACCGCCAACTGGAAGGAACTTGAAATCAAGTCCAAAAATAATTGAGGCCAAGATAGAATGCTGTTTGACTGTCCGCTTTCTGTAGGGTACCTGCTCTTAGCTTTGTCTCCGGATGATTTTGAGGAATGCAAAAAATTCGCCAAGCATTCCGATTTCAAGATTAAGTTAAACGAAGAGTTAAAGTTTCCGTATTGTTTTCGAGTAAGCCAGTTTGCTTTCATTAGGTTGAAATATGCTATGTTCAAGAAAAACCCCATAGAGAAGCTGTCATGACGCGAACGAATTAGGAAAATTTAATTGCCTTTTTCCAGAGATGTCATACATGGCAGAAACAATTTGGGATAGTTTCATTACAGCTAGGCAAGTGAGCAACATTCTTATTGTGCGAAACAAAAGAGGGATGCTTGCGGTGTTGATAAACCCCCTTTAAAACAATGGCGTCTGGCGTGCGCTTTTAACACGTGTTACCTTATCAATAAGAAAATGAATATTCAAACCCATGGCAACGAGTAATGATCTAAATAAATTTTTATTGCCACATATTTTTTTTAAGTTCGACTTCCTGTGCAAATTCTAGAATATTCCGATGAGCTGGAAGTTTATCAAATCTTCCTTGTGGAAAGACAAAAGTGTTCGTTACTAACGAACAATAACTTGAGGCATCTTCCAAAAGTATTAGCTGAAAATAACGCGTCTTTTTAGGTGGGACCAGCCCTCTGTGATAAGCGATATCGGGGCCATTTATCGCTAAATGGATAGAAGCGTTGAAATATTGATACGAATAGCAAAAGGTGCAAATTGGATTACGAGCTTAATGTTTTAATCATACACACTGAAAACTTTATAATGACGGTAAGGGAATAGCCCCCAAATTCTAACGTTACATACTGTGTTTGCGAGTCATTAGAGCACGCGTCCAAAGCGAAACAAATTCAACTCGAAAATCTGAAACTCTTTTATTTTTAAATTCAAAACATGATCTTCTCATTACATTACCCATCCTAGACGGCTGGTGCTGGGTTTTAAAACAGCTACTCACACGTTTTGTTCGATTTGAAAGAAACAGATGAAAAGTGAATTTCCGCGTTCAGTGTTTATGGTTTCCGGTGTAAATTCGCATACCCGTGCCTAGGCGTTTCTTTTCTCGTCTAACTTTCATCAAAAAGCGAGTCTGCGATTAAAAAGAATAGTTTCGGTCTCTTTTGCTGCTCATTAAGCTTTGTTAGAAAGCACTTATCATGACATCTCACATGTATTTTTCGCTTAAAACTGCAAGACCACGCCGACAAACACGAGATAGCAATTTCGCGTTTAGTTATAGACTTGAACTGAGAGTGTTAAAGGCTGACCTCAGAATTCGCAAATTGAACGGAATTCAGAGGGAAAATTACAGAAGAAGACGGAGAATAGTAAACGGAGTCTTCAAAAGCTATTGTAATCGGTCGAGAGCTTTGTACCTTTGACAATGTTTTGTTTTCTTTGTAAAGCAAGTGAAAGAAAAGTTACAGAATTCCATTGTATAGAGCTAGATGTCTCAAGGAGACTTTATTTAGAGGGCTCCCAAACTTAAAAGGTGTCATGGGAAAAGAAAATGGCCATAAAAAGATTCTGTAGTTAAACTGCTTCCAAGGTGTTCGTTCAATTGAACTTTTTCTTTTATCAAAAGCTTATTGCTTATCCTCCCCTGATAAAAGACCCCAACTTATCGCATGGCAAACATTTATCGCTCAAGAGCAGTTGCTCTGGAAGAGTTATTTTTTGTCTGGAGATGCTCGCGCGTTGGGCAGACTTTTTGGCAAAATCCTCGTGGGCCCTGTGATGATTAGTAGCTAAATTTCGAACGCTAGGCCCCAACAGGTGGACCGTTAAAAAAGGCAAACGATTGATTGATTTCATGACGGTATGAACTGAATACGCAACATAAACTAAACAAGATTGTTTTGAAACGTTCCTATCTAAAGTTCATTTAACAAAGCAGTGACATTTAATGATTTAAAGCTAGACGCTTTTGTATGAACACATGGTAACTCTGGAGACAACAGGCACATATTGTATGCAAAAACACGAAGTAACGAGAACATTACCTGATGATAAAAGCAAAACTATAAGAAGCGTGCGAGGTGGATTGAAAAAATATGACAATTGTGTCGTACTTCACCTTTCAGTTTCGGCTCAAACTTAAAGGCTCTGTACGGCTTGCTTCCTTCCAAACTTCCCAGTTCTCTGATCTCGACAATTTCTTGCATTTTTCGCAGGGCACAGCGAAATCTGGTCTTCCATGTGGACGGATCAGGCTGATCTCCTTTACGGTATTTTCCGGTGTGCTCAGCCCAGCGTTTGAAAAGCTCTGCATGAGTTTCAAGGACGAACTCCGGTTTATCGACGCGAACCCAAGGGACTTTGAAAATACCTTTATCTTTCTCGATCCATTCCAAGCCGTCAATGTCTCCTTCTTCGATCTGTTCTTCTAGCCACGGTGTAAACCGCTTGCGTTCCTTCGGTACTCTGGTTGAAACCCCTCGTACTAAGGATCGATCTACTCCGACTGACGAAAGTCGCATCTTCTTAGATAACATTTTGGGGTTTCTTGCAGTTTCGTGAGACGGGTTATTTCCGAATAACAACTCAGTTCTTGACTTTTCTAAACGGCTTTCACTTTCTTGATTGAAAATTTTAATGCGTATTCGGCTGATTAGCGTCGAAAGCTGTCTCTACTACAAGACGTGAACTGCAAGATCTGATGCCTGGAACGAGCAAAGTTTTTTTGCTGAGTTGCCCTTTAAAGTGTTAACGCCCCTGTATTGGAAGACCCAGGTTTTGCCAGACTCTGTGCGCTGATTGGTTGCCAAGCATCGACGTAATTAATGAAACCTGCTGTCTGATTAAATCCAGCTTTAAGAATAACAAAATGAACTTCCGCGCTAGATAAATCTAGTTTCGTGAAGTGTTCTTTACAAAAATTAGCACCGCTTAAAATTTTTATCACGCATTGCATCGCGATGTCGTAAGGGAGAGTTAACCACCACCTGTTACAGACAGCAGCAGCGGAAGCTGACTCTTCTAGCTTGTATCATTCTGTTAATTAAAATTTCAAACCCACGTTCGCATAGAAGTGGCCTCGATTGGACTGTTAGAGGTTACACTTTATCTCCATTTATTTATAATTACACAGCTTACGCACGCGTTTTGTCAGTGTGATAATTTTATTTTCTCGTATCATATACCTGCGGCATCAAGCAAAGTTAGCAACAAAATTAAGCCAAAGAAGCGCAGCTTTTAAAGGACTTAGGTCATCTTATTTAAGATAATCATATCCGCTTTCGTTAATATTGGGTTCTAAACTTCAATTTGGTGGGCAGCGGTCTAAAATTACTCGCCAAAATCACGATCATCATTGATAATACACCACAAAAGACACGTCACTCGAACAAATTGTCTACATCTGTTTTTTAATTGATTTAGTTTTAACATACACAATTTTTGCAGGGCTCGAGCTAATTTCTTTGCCAGCTGGTCTGTGTTGAAATAACTCAGAGATTTCTTTTCATTAAGCCGTGCCACATCGCTGGGATTATGATAACAAACTAACGCTTATCTCCTATCACGAGCGCAAAAGGAGGGATAAAATACTGTCCACCTGTAAAATAGATTGTTCAACCTCCCAACTTGCACGAGGTATTTAAAAAATAACTTCCCTTACATGATCTATTTATTGTTTTATTAGCATATTGGTCATAGGAGCACAATATCAATGAGGGGATACATAGAAAGATACACATTCAATTGTGGAGGATACGTCGGTCTGTGATAGGGCACATTTCTCCGAGCTCAATAACACGTACATGTATGTTGGTCAGAAAGTTAGACTTCACAGTAAGGGTTAAGTGGGTATTAGAGGAGAAAATATTTATAGGATTTGTTAATCTTTCATCCCCATCAGCAATAAATATTTTAAACCCCAATATCTCCTGACCTGCGAGTTACATAACAAGGTACTTTAATGACTTGATGGCGTCTCTCATTACTCCCAGATGACAGTTTGTGTGGAGAAAATTACTCTCAATTCTATGCATTTTTGGACGCCATAAAGTAATGTTTGGATACGGAAGTAACATATTAAGGCTTGCCGTTGTGGGGGTGGGGGTAGAGAGGGGATGTTAATACTCCCGGGTAATACCCCACCCCTCCCTATGTAAATCTAGATGTACTATCGTTCAACTTCCGCGTCAAACGAAAGGATTTGTTGAAGACCTTCAAAGCTGGTTTCCACTGATAAACACCTGCGTGGGCCGACAGTCACGAAAAAATAAATTCATTCATCCAAAGATCGCGAGTATAAAGAAAAGAAAAGTTATTTGTGTATTCATTGGATTTTTTTTTTCGGTTTCCATCCCGCATTCAATGCTATGCTAAAATTTACATATTTTCAAATAATCTTCCACAGTTTTCGAAAAGAGCTGTGAATCTATGATTATCAGATGAGATAACTAAAAATATATGACTCCACTTCAAGAAAATTTACATGTATATATGCAAGCTCATCGCCTGGAGAAGGCTAGCAATACGCAGTCGAAAGGTTGCGATCCACATCGTAACTGACAGCAGTGTGAGGTAAGCGGTAATGTCATGTTCTTGTCGCATTTTGTTTACAACGATAAAAATATCACAACATCACTGACTCTTGGGACAACTTGAAGTGGAAGTAATTTAAGCGCTATCATAAGCATGATAATCCTTTTCGTTTATTTGACTGTTTAACTATTTATGATAGCTAACTATTTGAGGAAATGTGTATGTAAAATAGTAAATTTTGTTAGAGATGTTAGATAGATTACCGTTTCGGTGATTGTGAGTGACAGCTGGAAATAGATCGAAGAGTTTACCTGCATTGGCAGCGTGTATGGTTTTACCACTGGCCTATTTAGCTGCAGATCTTTGCGTTAGTTTCCTTGATTCTTTCAATATTTTTCTGAATTTTACAGATTACTTGAAGCAAGCCATGCAAAACACGTCCGATTGACGTCTTCTGTGAGTCTATTTGGTGTACTGTACTTTGCCGTTTCTGCTGCCTGTATCTTTATTCATTTGCGGTCATGCAATTAAACTTCCATGTTATTTTGAAAGAAAACCTTTACTACAAATATGATAATAGAAGTTGGGTACTCGAGGATATCTCAAAACTGACCCAATGATTTGTGATGTTTTTGATCACACGTAGAGATGACTCGAACGCTTTCTCCTAAGCCAGAGCCGTTTCTGACAGCGAATCCGCGTCAATTCGAGAAAAGGCAATTTTTTGCGGGTAGCGCGGGGAGTTGAGACCAAAATTTTAGGTGACTTTACAGATGTTTTCCTCAAAACTACGAGCGTCGCTTCATGTATTTGTGCTGTGCAACACTATCATCAAATTGCAGGAGTAAACCGCGAAATTCATAGCTAGGAAGGTATAAGTGATACTGAAGAGCCAAAAATAAATTAAGGCAGGAAGTCATGTAAGTATGGACGGGATTGACGAGGATTTTAGACGAAAATATTTAAAAATGTTCGGCCATATTTTTCTAAACATGCAGAAACCTAGAACTACAGCTAATTTAACAAATTAAAAAAAAAAAAGAACCCGGCCTTAGGGACGGTCTACCCCTCGAAGCTCTAACGTGCAAGACGAACTACTCAATGAATCAATTTGGTCTTCGGTTTACAAGTAACAGAAAGTCATGTTTGGTTTGAAACGAAATTCTTATTTCAATTAGGTTCACATGATACAACTTTAAGTAACTTTCGAAAGTGGAAATTAAGTATCAAGTGGAAGTACGACAAACAAGAGAGCACAACTCGGAAGAACGTTTGTAGTTTCACACAGGAAATGAAATATGATTGGAGAACGAACTGGTACTTTGATCCTGTTGCTGGAAGGAAATATACACCAGCTAATTGCGCCAAGTTACGTCAGATTAAACATCAGAGAATGAATGAATCACTTGATTTCAATGTTGTATGTGGCGTATTTTAAAATACTGATCTTTTCGAATGAGTTGTTTTCCTAAGGAAAGCTTCTAGTGTACAATTGTATGCTACGAACCGACAGAAGTGTAACCTCAAAATTGCAAAACAGTTGACATAAAAATGACGTAGAGCACAGCTGATATGAGTGATTTAGATAGCAAAAGTTTTTAATAGCACAAACATTTATATTTAGAAATTTTGTTATTTGTTCAAGATCAAAAAAGCATGCGATCCTCCATTTCCTTCCGCAGTTTAAAGGTTGCTATGAACGTGACAAATCATCGCGTCTAACACTCGTCAGACCTCCAGCACTATACTTCTATCACAGTTCTGTTCAAAAGTAAACATTTTGCCCCCGAAACAAGTCTCATAAGTGGAATTCGGCTAGTTTGAGCACTCGCTCTATAGAGCGGGAATAAAAATAACTCGACGTCGCTCGTCATTCCGACAATTTGCTAGCTACCATGACGTGGCAAAAGTCTTGGCATTCCCTGCTACTTTCGGAATTCATTAATGTTGCGTGATGTTACAAAATGGTCTCAAATTTCAGTTAACACTGTCTAAA